AACAGAAGCAATTAATGGACCATCTGCACTGTCTCATTTAGACTTGCACATTGTCCTAGTGACAGCCACAGCCATTCTTACAGCAGGATGCAAGATGCCCTCAACTTTGGTGGATGCAACTGAGGGAACCAGTATTAGAAGAACAGCGCTGCAGTGGTCTTTATGTACTGCTGCCCTCTGTGTGGGCTCACTCATGAGCACCCACACTCCAGGCACCTTATCTATGGATGTGGATATCCATCACTTACAGAGTTCTTTGGAAGTCAGTGAAAAATATCTGTGTTGCATTGCAGATTTAAACAGTGCTACAAATAGCATCAATCAAGCACAAGAAGGTGGAAAATGGACAACTTGCAGCCTTCTCCACTCATAAGAAACATGGGAAGAAGAATAACTCTGCACTACCCTGAATCCCAGATCCTCCTCCAGAGCTTCAACAGAAAGAGAATGCAGGGCAGCTCTCACAGCTTCTGTGGATGAAGCTCCTCCCAACCTGCCTCCAACCTCTTTTTTAATCCATTGTCCTGGTTTGTACCCAGTCAGGCAACTCATTCACTCACTCCCCCCCTTCCTTCCCTCCCCTTACTCCTGGAGGGACAGAGAGGAGAATCAAAAGAATGCAACTCCCACAGATTGAGATAAGAACAGTTTAGTAACTAAGGTATAACACAAATCACTACTGCTACCACCAATAATAATAATGATAAAGAAAATAACAAGGGAAGAGAACACAACACCTCAGCACCAGCCAACTGATAACTCGCCCCCCCCAGCCTGACCAAGCACCGACCCATACCTCCTCCAACCCCTCAGTCCCTAGCCCTTCTGGGTAATTCTCAGTTACCTCCTGGGCATGACGTGCTGTGGTGTGGAATACCTCTTTGGTCAGTTTGGGTCAGGTGTCCTGTCTCTGCTTCCTCCCGGCTTCCCCTCCTCCCTGGCAGAGCATGAGGCTCACAAGGTCCTTGGCCAAACCAAAACATCAGCTCTGTTTCCAGGACGAAAGTCAAAACACTGCACTGCATCAGCTACCAAGAAGGAGAAAAATGACTGCTACTACTGAACCCAGGACATCCATGCCCACAGTACAAGCACAGGAGGCAGCATCAGTGCCTCACAGGCTGTAATCATTTATTGCCCACACCTTTACAGGGAGGAATGAGAGTGAGCTCTGTAAAGAGGAAGGCAGAGGAGTGGAGAAAACGTAGCTGCAATGCTACCCCAGGTGCTCTCTCAACTGTAACTCATACTATAAGGAAGTACCTGAAAATCAGTACTGATGTTCCTAGGAAGGGGAAACAAAGGGAAGGAGTGTATCTGGTTTGCAGCTTGGCACTGTCAGCTTCGAGGGCCTCACTGGCTGTTTTTTCCACCTTGCTTCTGGCAGCAGGAGCATGCCAGTGCTTTGGTCCTACCCCTGGTGCATGCAGTTTCCTGCTCCTTGTTTCGGCTCCCAGAGCATTGCAGACCCCCTGCGCTTTCCCCTGGGTTCTGGCCACTTCCTGATTTCTCCCTTTGCCCACCACATCCTGCCCATGGATGACGGCTGCTTCCCATCAGGCGGTGCAGTCTCCCTTCTCAGATTGCTCTCCTGTCATAAACACAGTCAAATCCAAATAGAAATGGACAAGGAGAAAATGCATGATTGCTAGCCCAAGCTCAATAAGAGGATACTATTTCCCCCCTCTCCCCACCATTTCCAGCATAAGGGGTTCCTAAAGAATCTGTAATTAACCTCCAAAAGCTGTTTGAAGTCACATATCCAAATGCTGCTTGAAATCACGGACCGACAGGTACCCAGGCCATGCTATCCACCTCAGCAGGCGGATATAGTTCTGCCTACCCTGATGCAGCTGCAGCCACCTTCCTAACAGACCTGACACAGCAGAGGCAGCCTCGCCACCTCCCTTTATTAGCAAACGACAGTTTGCTCCCAGCTCTGGCAAGGCCCTTGCTGTTCCCCTGGCTCACCTACCTCCATCTCTAAATGCTGAGATGAGTGGCTCCCCTCTGACTGTGCTTTGAAATGAGTGCTGTCTTGTCAGGTTTTCACAAGAAATGACCAAACTTCTTTTAAAATGTCAGGTATTAAGGAAAAATAAGCCTGCAGTTAAAGACAAAGCACTTAGGAACTGAGATTTCTGAAACCACGATTTCCATGAGGAGGGATACAAAAATGCCCGAAACTATAATCCTAACAGACTACCTGCTACAGGCTTGCATTTTACCAGGGAAGTTTCTAAAGCGGTTCTCACAGAAAGAACTTGATGGGAATGTTATTAAACAGGGATCCTCCTCCTCGCCTCTGTTTAGCTAAGAGCAAAGGAAACAATGGCATGATGTTTCTCACTGTTTTGACACTTAAGAGTGTTCTGGAGGCTGCTTACATTTAGCACACACTTTTAGGTTGGAAACTGTAACTCCCCCATTCCTGCAGAACTACAGTTCACCATTACGGGTTTGAGATGCCACCAACACCACTTCTGCTTCTTTCCTTCTTCTCAGGTTTTGTGTTACATTATTCACCTCCCAGGGGCTTTCTACAATCCCTCCCAGGTGTAAATTGTTCCAGAAATGATCTTTGGTTTACATGCAGGATCATGGCCTCAGATCCTGTGTAACACAGCCACCCACTTGCATGTGTAAATATTACCAAGTGCAAGATTAATCAAGAGGAGGGTGGAAGCAAACTGATTTTCCCAACAACTTAAACTTGGGTATTTTTCCATTCTGCACAGAAGAGAAAGAGATGGAGAAAAAACAAAACCAACCAGACCTCAGCACACAGAAACCAAATTACACTTCTGAATATTCTCCCCAAATGGACCGTACCAGTGAGATGGCTCATTAGATCCAGCCAGGATCTCTTTGAACATGAGCAGAACCTTGGCATGTCTCTGCTCCTGGGCAGATCTCAACGGGGGGTGTGTTTCAGCACTTCCTTGACAATGAAGCTTCAACCAAAACTATTTCAGTCTGGTCAATGTATTTAGACCAAAGATTAGTTTACACATCAGCAACAGCAACACTAGAGCCTTCCCTACCATTTAGTTTACTAACAAGCTGAAGCTCCCACCAAAATATGCAAGGAGAGATTTGCTTCACATACCCAGTCACTTATTTAAGTTGAAATCACAGTCAAAATTTGGCAAGAGCAAGTCTGGAAAGAAACAGACGTGACTGACTGTTTAAGCACATCCATGTGGCTGGAAGAGCCGACGTGTCTCACGGTAAAGGGATAAAGTTTAGACATGTAGGTGCACCGTTAGCTTCTCCCCTGCTCAGTTCTCAGTTCTGTAGGCTGTCTTACCTTCTGATCCAGGTCTGGCACAGCTAAATGCACCGTATGCACTCCTCTCACACCAGCCACCGTGCTGCTGCTCTGTGTTTTGCTTTGGACTGTCACCCTGTACAGAACATCTACCCACCAGACTCTGGAACCAGAGAAGCATTACAAAGCTTGGTCTTCCAGAACCGAAGCCAAGATTTTTCAGTAAGCCCTTTCACATACAAATACAAACATTTGGCTCCTGTGGATGAATATAGCAAGCACAAAGCTGAGTTATGGAGTGTGTTTTATTTTATGACGATTGCCAGAGGGGTCATTCTCTGATGTTAACAGGGTCCCTATGAATTGAAAAGCACTTCCTGCACACCGTGATGGATGTTCATCCAAAGAAAGCTGCTGGACACTGCTGTTGTTCAGCTACTATGTGCTCATCAGGAGGCCACAGAAACTACCAAAGAGACCACAGATTTCTTAGCCAGCATTTTCAAAAGTCAACTGAGGTTTTAAAGCTATAAAAAGCTACAGGAAAAGAATGGAGTTATCACAAGAATTTCATATTAGTTCCATAAGTAATGGAAAACTAAACTTTATGGCTTGTTACACATTAAAGCATCTCATTTATAGTGCATTGTATTTCACAGAAGGCAGCAACATTCCTGCCAGTGTTAGGCCAAGCTGCGGGGAACCATCATGGAAGGATTTGATCCTGCCAACATAAGAATGTATCTTCAGCTTCTTGGAGGAGAAATGGGAAGAAAAGTGCTCTCAGGCACAGGCGCACGCTGAGCAGATAGACGTAGGGTTCCAAACACAGAAGGAAGCTAAACCAAACACTCCTCTGTGATGCACATGGGTCACTCAGTTTGGCTGACTTAAGATGTACCCAAACCATAGGTACACAGTTCAAAGCCTGCAGGCTCGGGAAGCCCACATGTTCCCCCCGAGTGTGCTAAAAGAAAATGACTTAAAATGATGTTTTTTTTAATTATTAAAACTTAAGTATGTTGATTTTTGTTTGCTTTTGATTTGGTTTTAAATCACACTTTCCACTGGTATGGAAAAATAACTTCTGGAACAAGCTTACCTCAGTTTGCCAGTTTTATGATATTCTTTGTTACAGCAAGTAGGTATAAATGAGCTTTGGCTAAAAGGTAAACCTGCACAAAGTGTCTTTTTATCAGACTAATTTGCTATGATCTACAATTTTGCTCACACACATGAAAAAGGCTTCTGGAGTACTTGGGTTTAACTACTTGCAAAGTGGCATCAGCTATAGCAAAGTTTATCAGGAACACAACTCACACTGCACAAATATTTTAAAAAGTGGAAGTTTATGTGTCTTTCCATGGCTCAAATAGCAAATAAAATAAGTACCTGGTATTTCCTAGTGCCTATAAAGTCTCATTATAGCCTCTCAGACTGTAACTGCGTCTGTTACATGCCAATCGGGATCCATAATGCCACCAGCTCCAAAAAGAAACATGGAGCTCTGCAAGAGCTAATGATTAGAAAGCTATTAAAAACATATATACACACACAGAGGTTTTTTATCCCAGCAGCTATGTGATAGCCAAGTGGATTTCAAAGAATAGGGAATTTCTACTGCCTGTAATAACTGGATGTGAACTGCAATAATGCCCCAAAACTGAAACATGCATGAGTTTTCATAACAAAAATGAAAAAACCAACCAACAACCAACCAACAATGAGACTTGGTTCTGATGCATTTAATTGACTGAATGTTCTCTATAGAGCAGCATGAAGATCCTGGTGTAGTACTGAACAACCTATGTAAGGAGACAACAGACAAGGTGAGGTTACTGCAAAAGAGAAGTTTCTGCAGCTCTCATGCTGCAACTGACAGCTCAGATTCTCCTGTCACTCTTCACATTCCTCTCCCACTATTCACGTTCCTCTGCCCCTCTTCACATTCCTCTGCCCCTATTCACAATCCTTTGCCCTCTTCACATTCCTCTGCTGCCTTCACAATCCTTTGCCCCTCTTTGCAATCCTTTGCCCCTCTTTGCATTCCTCTGCTCCTTTTCTCATTCGTCTGCCCCTTTTCACAATCCTCTGCTCCTATTCACAATCCTCTGCCACTCTTACTCCTCTGCCCCCTTAACATTCCTTCGCCCCTCTTCACAATCCTTTGCCCCTCTTCACAATCCTTTGCCCCTGTTCTCCTTCCTCTGCCCCTCTTCACATTCACATGAAAAGTGCTCTCATACCTGCCCAGAGCTGGTGTTCCACCCAAGGATTGCTGGAAAGTGGCAGCTGATCATGGGCAACAAGGATGGAGCCATTCCAAGCACAAGCTGCTCTGCACAAGCCAGAACCCCTGGGGAAATGGAGCCAAAGGAAGAGTAGTGCTCGCTCCCGCTCCAAGCTTGCACTGGACAATGGAGCCAGAAAGAGCCAAGGCAGGAGTGGTGCCCTGGAGGTGTGAGAGCAGCAGCAAGAACCGAACCCAAAGGGAAGCCCTGACAAGGGGCTGTGCTCAACGGTACAGAGGACAAGCAGCAACCCCTGGGCCACCCCAGGTGTTTACAAAGCCTCCTCCAAATGTGAGCACGAGGGGCCACCTGACTGGAGCAGGAGCAGCAGCCTTTGGGCCACAGCAGCCCAAAGGAGCCCTGTCAAGGAGCTAGCTCACTGCTGCAGAGGAGCATATATTTAAAGATTTTATGGATGTTTCCCAGGGAAAGTACTGATTTCTGTTTCAAAGCTGAAGCTCTTTCAGCTTGGGCACCTTTTCGCTTTACAATGAAAACTTAGATTTCTCAGTGGAAATAGAGACTTGTACAAATAAAGTTTGTGAAAACTCAGCTTCCTATTTTAAACATGTACAATCAGGCCGCACTGTGCAATGCCATTAGTCCCTAAGATAATCCCAGATGAATGTGCTCCCAACCCCAAGTCAACCAATTCTTTCGATAAAAATAACCTTCTGTGATGTCTGAGCAATCAGTCAAATTATACACCACTCGCATACAGCTCTGTAACAATATTGGTCTAGTGGTTCTGATACAATAGAGCTGCTTTATGGAACAGCAAATACTAACACACTGCAATATGTAAGAAACACATAAATCGATATACTTTTGCAGGGAAAAATATTTTAAACTGTACCTTAGTACAAATAAAAGGCAAAACCCCTCAAAGTCTGGAGGAAGATTCAGAGCTGCTTTTGTACAAGAGGGTTTTGTCCCTTCTTACTTAAGCCAGCTGGAGATCTGAATAAAGCTGTAGTTCCTTCTCCCACCTTATTCTGACCATTCTTTGAAATGTGCCTAGCTTGTTCCCGGAGCTTCTACTGAGACTGGATCAAGCATCAGATGTTGCCATTATCTAAAAACTTCAGCTCCCAATCTCTCCTGTCATTTCCACACCCACTTTTCCCCTTGCAAATAATGCATGAATCATCATCAGAAATCACTCTCCGGTCCATTAACAAACTAAACAGACTCACAGCAGTACACACATGCCTATCATTACATCTGCCCTGATATTACAGGGATCAACGCTATAAAAAATACTTGCAGTTAGCAAATATTCATGTTGTATTTATTAGCACTTGCATTGCAGTACACACATTATGAAACAACTTTTCTGTGGTAGGAGGAAGCCAGCAAGGAAAACTGCTTTGCTGCTATATTAATAACTTACAGTGCAGTAATCCTGCGCTCTACACAGTCTCAGACTGGTTCACTGGACAAAAAATAAACTTAGATGGCTTTAAAAGGTTGTGTATTGGGTCAAAAGTGCCACAAATATTACAGCAAATCCCTGAATTAACACAAACTCATCATGTTGGTCCAAGTCTATCCAGAAACATATTCACCAGGACTAGGCCAAGGGCCCTCTGCTGTGTCTGGCTAATTTAACAACAGGGCACTCTGCTTGGGAAAACCACTAATCCCCAAATGTAGTACTAAAGATGAGACCAAGACTACAGAGACATTTATTCACCCAAGCATGAGAAAAGGCCCATGTCTTCCTGACCCTCCACAGAGTTTCTACAACGTCTTAAACATGACTTCAGTAGATAATTTTACAGGAAGTGACTCCTAACAGAATTTTCAGATGCCTTCAGGAATGAGACAGGACTCCAGTGATCTCTCTCCCTTATATCCTATCTTAGAAAACATGCCCGAGAAACAGGAGAACTGGAGTGAGGACGTGGGGAAGGCCGTAACAGTATTTACAGCAGTGACTTCCACTCAACCAGATGAAGACTGGCAAGGTGTTAGTAGAGGTGTGGAATAGATGTGAAAGCCTCAGATGTTTTGACCATTAGGGAACACGATGGGACATAAATGAGAAGATTGTGGTCATTGTTTTTCACAACACAATGAAAAGTGAAGTTAATATTGAATTCACCCCAGAAAAGATGTCCACACTACTCAAGTTATGAGAGGAATAAGCCCTCTTAGGAGACTGAAGGAGATGTACATCACCCTTAGTCAGGAACTTCCATCCAGTTCAGTGAAAGCAGAATTGCCTCTGAGGTGCAGGAATGATAAAGAGAAAACTCTGCTTTCGGTTATACCTAAGAAAAGGCTTGCAGAGGCACTGGTGGGAAGGCTGCTGAAAACAAAGGTGCTGCCTGGGAGTCAGGGAAACAGAATTTGCTCTCCATCACCTATACAAGGAGCATCTTTCCGACTACAACTCTCAGCCACCTTCAGCACTGCAGCTTTTTAACTGCAGTCCTACTAATTTGCACTTTTCTGCGTATCAGTGAGCCAGTTCTATTCAGAGATAAGAGCGGTGCTGCTGCTGAGAGCTCAGGTCAGGGCTTGAGCCCATCTCTATTACCTCACACAGAACTAAAAAACCCAAACAAAAGACAGAGAAGCTGTTCCATTTCATCACTCCACCACCACCCCATCAGCTTTCATCTGTTTGCTTGTTTGAAGATACAATCAATAATACATTCCAGGTGCATCCTGATTCAGAAGTACCTCCCGCAATACCACAAACCCATGGCAATCCCCCGCTTAAAACACCCTCAGCTTGACAGGTATCACGGGTGTTCTGACCTTGACAGGCTTCTGACCCTGACAGTGTCAGAGAAGCTGAGAGAGCTGGGCTGGTTCAGCCTGGAGAAGAGAAGGTTCCTTAAGGCGAGAGAGAGCTTAGAGCAGTTCCAGTGCCTAAAGGGGCTACAGGAAACCAGGAGAGGGGCTTTGGACAAGGGCCTATAGGGACAGGACAAGGGGAATGGCTTTAACCTGCCAAAGGGGAGATTGAGATGAGCTCTTAGGCAGAAGTTCTTCCTGTGAGGGTGCTGAGGCGCTGGCACAGGGTGCCCAGAGAAGCTGTGGCTGCCCCATCCCTGGCAGTGTTCAAGGCCAGGTTGGACGGGGCTTGGAGCAACCTGCTCTAGTGTAAGGTGTCCCTGCCTGTGGCAGGGGGGTGGAGCTGGATGAGCTTTGAGGTCCCTTCGACACAAACCAGTCTGGGATTCTACTACCTGCTTTGTCAGCTCATTTAGGATACAGATTACATTGCACTGGAGGCACCCAGACCTTAACTCCTGTAAAGTTTCTGGGCATTTCATGCCCTGACTCCTACATTTCCATCACAGATTTCAAAACGTTTGTGTATTTCCTGCAGTTCAGGGTTGGTAACAGCACAGCAGATGCCAGGAAAGGCCACCAGAGACATCGCAGAAACATTCGCAACCCCTCGAACGCTGTCTTGTAACGCCCCTTCTCCAAACCGGAGGGGTTCCACACTGCCACACCCTTTGTCCCCAGCTGCAGGAGGCCCCGCTCACGCTTGCAGCCCAGGGGCTGCGGGTCACCCCCCCTCTGCGAACGGCGGCTGCCTGCGGCAGGGCGGCGAGGTCCCCGCCGGCTTCCTGAGGGGGGCTCCGGTCTCCCGGCACCCTCGGGCCGTCCGTTGACGTGCAGGGACCGGCCGCTCGGCGGGAGGGTGCCGCGCCATGGGGCTGGAAGCGGCTAACAACCGCCACTTGGGCCGCGGAAAGGGCCGCGCCCCGGCCAGAGCCGGGCCCGCTGCAATCGCCGCTGCGGGCTGCGGCCCGACCGCCGTCCATGGAAGCTCATGCAGTGCGAGGCTGGCCGGGGCCTCCAGAGGTGAAGCGGGGCTGCAAGGAGTGCTCGGGGCTGCCTGATGGGAGGATGGAGCCAGGAGGGGGCTGGTCTCTGCTCCCAAGGAAGAAGGGATGGGACAAGAGGAAATGGCCTCAAGCTGCACCAGGGGAGGTTTAGATGGAGATGGGGAACAATTCCTTCCCCAGAGGGTGCTCAGGCATTGGAATAGACTGCCCAGGGCAGTGCTGGAGTCACCGTCCCTGGAAGTGTTCACACACTGCGTAGATGAGGCTCTCAGTGCCATGGGTTAGTGGTGGCCTTGGCAGTGCTGGGCAATGGTTGGATTGGATGAGCTTAAAGGACTTTTCCAAAGTCGTTGATTCTGTGATTTACATCGAGAATTACATCAAGATTACATTTGGGTTTCCAAACGGGCACTAAGTTACTTGCTTGTACTTAAATCTGTGCTAATGGTAAGATGCAACTGCCAACTTGCTTAAACACTGACACTGTGCGGCAGTATTTGGCTGTCTGGTTGACACAACCTTCTAAGACGATGCCTAATGGGTCACCTTTATCAAAGTGAGTGAAAGCCAGCCACGGTTTTCCAAGTGAGCAAATCCATTATTCTAGAATTCAGAGAAACCACGTTTCTCCTAGAAGAGAAACTTTGGTTCACATAACAAACCCCATAGCTTCAGGTGCTCCAAGTAAGTAAGTATACCAGGTATTTCCTAGTACCTACAAGGTCTCATTATAGCCTCTCAGACTATAACTGTGTCTGATACATGCCAATCAGGATCCATAATGCCACCAGCTCCAAAAAGAAACCTAGAGCTATTAAAAACATATATACACACACACAGGTCTTTTATCCCAGCAGCTAAGTGATAGCCAAGTGGATTTCAAAGAATAGGGAATTTCTGCTGTCTGTAATAGCTGGATGTGAACTGCAATAATGCCCCAAAACTGAAACATGCACGAGTTCGCATAACAAAAATAAAAAAACAAACCAACAAATAAGCAACCAATTCTGAGACATGGTTTTGAGCATTTGACTGAATGAATGTTCTCCATAGAGCAACATCATGACACTGGTGGAGTATTTAATAACCTGTGTCTTCAGGAAGACAACTTGAGAGAAGACAACAGTCAAGGTGACGTTACTGCAAAAGAGAACTTACTGCAGCTGTCACGCTCCGACTGACAGTTCAAACATAAGGATTTACATTCTTCTGTCACTCTTCTCTTTCCTCTGCCCCTCTTCTCATTCCTTGGCCACTCTTCTAATTCCTTTGCCAATCTCCTCATTCCTCTATCACTCTTCACGTTCCTCTGCCCCCCTACACGTTCCTCTGCCCCTCCTCGAATTCCTCTGCCCCTCTTTGCAATACTCTGCCCATTTTCACATTCCTTGACCCTCTTCACCTTCCTCTGCCCCTCTTCACTTGCCTCTGCCCCTCTTGGCATTCCTCTGCCATTCTTCGCATTCCTCTGACATTCTTCGCATTCCTCTGCCACTCTTCACCTTTTTCTGCCCCTCTTCACATTCCTCTTCACTCTTCTCGTTCCTCTGCCCCTCTTCAAATTTCTCTGCCAACCTTCTCAATACTTTATCACTCTTCACATTACTGTGCTACTCTTCGCATTCCTCTGCAACTCTCCCCAGTCCTCTGCCCCTCTTCACATTATTCTGTCCCTCCTCTCATTCCCTTTCCCCTCTTCTCATAACTCTGACCCTCTTCTCAATTCTCTCCGCCCTTCATATTCCGCTGCCCCTCATTTCTCTGACCCTCTTCAAATTCCTCTGGCCCTCTTCTCATTCATCTGACCCTCTTCACAGTCCTCTACCCCTCTTCTCATTCCTCTGCCACTCTTCAAATTCCTCTGCCACTCTTCACATTATTCCATCCCTTCTCTCATTCCTCTGCCCCTGTTCTCAGTCCTCTGCCACTCTTCTTTTTCCTCTGTCCCTCTACACATTCTTCTGCCCCTCTTCTTGTTCCTCTGCCCCTCTTCTCGCTCCTCTGCCCCTCCTCTCAGTCGTCTGCCCCTTGTCTTTTTCCTCTGTCCCTCTTCACATTCTTCTCCCCTTCTTCTCAGTCGTCTTCCCCTGTTCTCATACCTCTTCCACTCTTCTTGTTCCTCTGCCAATCTTCTCAGTCATCTGCCCCTCTTCTCGTTCCTCTGCCCCTCTTCTCATTCTTCTGCCCCTTGTCTTTTTCCTCTGTCCCTCTTCATTCTTCTCCCCTTCTTCTCAGTCATCTTCCCCTGTTCTCGTACCTCTTCCACTCTTCTTGTTCCTCTGCCAATCTTCTCAGTCATCTGCCCCTCTTCTCGTTACTCTGCCCCTCTTCTCATTCTTCTGCCCCTTGTCTTTTTCCTCTGTCCCTCTTCACATTCTTCTCCCCTTCTTCTCAGTCGTCTTCCCCTGTTCTCGTACCTCTTCCACTCTTCTTGTTCCTCTGCCAATCTTCTCAGTCATCTGCCCCTCTTCTCGTTCCTCTGCCCCTCTTCTCATTCTTCTGCCACTCTTCTCAGTCATCTGCTCCTCTTTTTTTCCTTTGTCCCTCTTCACATTCTTCTGCCCATCTTCTCCTTCCTCTGCCCCTCTTCACAGTTCTTTGCCCCCTTCACATTCCTTTGCCCATCTTAATCCTCTGCCACTCTTCTTCTTTCTCAGACCCCATCACAATCTTTTACTCATCTTCACAATCCTCTGCCCCTCTTCACGATCCTCTGCCACTCTTCAAATTCCTCTGCCCTTCTTCACATTATTCCATCCGTTGTTATTCCTCTGCCCCTCTTCTCACTCTTCTGCCCCTCTTCTCATTCTTCTGTCCTTCTTCTTATTCCTCTGCCCGTCTTCTCGTTCCTCTGCCCCTCTTCTCAGTCGTCTGCCCCTTTTTTTCCTCTGTTCCTCTTCACATTCTTCTCCCCTTCTTCTCAGTCATCTGCCCCTCTTCTCATTCCTCTGCCCCTCTTCTCGTTCCTCTGCCCCTCTTCTCAGTCATCTGCCCCTTGTCTTTTTCCTCTGTTCCTCTTCACATTCTTCTCCCCTTCTTCTCAGTCCTCTGCCCCTCTTCTCGTTCCTCTGCCACTCTTCTCAGTTGTCTGCCCCTCTTTTTCCTCTGTCCCTCTTCACATTCTTCTGCCCTTATTCTCATTCCTCTGCCTCTCTTCCCAGTCATCTTCCCATCGTCTCATTCTTCTACCACTCTTCTCATTCGTCTGCCCCTCTTCTTTTTCCTCTGTCCCTCTTCACATTCTTCTGCCCCTATTCTCATTCCTCTGCCACTCTTCTCAGTCGTCTTCCCGTCTTCTCCTTCTTCTACCACTCTTCTCATTCATCTGCCTCTCTTCTTATTCCTCTGCCCCTCTTCTCATTCCTCTGCCCCTCTTCTCGGTCCTCTGCCACTCAGTTGTCTGCCCCTCTTCTTTTTCCTCTGTCCCTCTTCACATTCTTCTGCACTCTTCTCGTTCCCCTGTCCCTCTTCACAATCCTTTGCCCCCTTCACATTCCTTTGCCCATCTTAATCCTCTGCCAATCTTCTCCTTTCTCGGACCCCATCACAATCTTTTACTCATCTTCACAATCCTCTGCCCCTCTTCACGATCCTCTGCCACTCTTCAAATTCCTCTGCCCTTCTTCACATTATTCCATCCGTTGTTATTCCTCTGCCCCTCTTCTCATTCTTCTGTCCTTCTTCTTATTCCTCTGCCCGTCTTCTCGTTCCTCTGCCCCTCTTCTCAGTCGTCTGCCCCTTTTTTTCCTCTGTTCCTCTTCACATTCTTCTCCCCTTCTTCTCAGTCATCTGCCCCTCTTCTCATTCCTCTGCCCCTCTTCTCGTTCCTCTGCCCCTCTTCTCAGTCATCTGCCCCTTGTCTTTTTCCTCTGTTCCTCTTCACATTCTTCTCCCCTTCTTCTCAGTCACCTGCCCCTCTTCTCGTTCCTCTGCCCCTCTTCTCGTTCCTCTGCCACTCTTCTCATTCGTCTGCCCCTCTTCTTTTTCCTCTGTCCCTCTTCACATTCTTCTGCCCCTATTCTCATTCCTCTGCCCCTCTTCTCAGTCGTCTTCCCGTCTTCTCCTTCTTCTACCACTCTTCTCATTCATCTGCCTCTCTTCTTATTCCTCTGCCCCTCTTCTCATTCCTCTGCCCCTGTTCTCGGTCCTCTGCCGCTCAGTTGTCTGCCCCTCTTCTTTTTCCTCTGTCCCTCTTCACATTCTTCTGCACTCTTCTCGTTCCCCTGTCCCTCTTCACAATCCTTTGCCCCCTTCACATTCCTTTGCCCATCTTAATCCTCTGCCAATCTCCTCCTTTCTCGGCCCCCATCACAATCTTTTACTCGTCTTCACAATGCTCCTCTGCCCCTCTCCACAATCCTCTGCCACTCTTCAAATTTCTCTGCCCTTCTTCACATTATTCTATCCGTTCTCTTATTCCTCTGCCCCTCTTCTCACTTGTCTGCCCCTCTTCTAACTTGTCTACTCCTCTTCTCATTTTTCTGCCCCTCTTCAAATTCCTGTGCCCCTCTTCTCATTCCTCTGCCCCTGTTCTCAGTCCTCTGCCACTCTTCTTAGTCATCTGCCCCTCTTCTTTTTCCTCTGTCCCTCTTCACATTCTTCTGCCCCTCTTCTCGTTCCTCTGCCCCTCTTCTCAGTTGTCTTCCCCTCTTTTCATTCTTCTGCCAGTCTTCTCATGCGCCTGCCCCTCTTCTTTTTCCTCTGTCCCTCTTCACATTCTTCTGCCCCTCTTCTTTTTTCTCTGCCCCACTTGACAATCCTCTGCCCCCTTCACATTCCTGTGCCCCTCTTCACATTTCTTTGCCAAACTTCTCATTCCTCTGCCACTTCTCATATTCTTATACCCCTTTTCACATTCCTCTGACCCTCTTCTCATTCCTCTGCCCCTCTTCACAATCCTCTACCCCTCTTCTCATTCTTCTGCCATTCTTCAATATTTTCTGCCACTCCACAATCACTCACCCATCCTCATAATCCTCTTACCTATTTCACAATCCTATGCCCCTCTTCATGATTCTCTCCTCCTCTTCACATTCCTCTGACACGCTACAAATCTTCTGCCACACTTCACATTCCTCTGGCCCTCTTCTCATTCCTCTGCCACTCTTCTCCTTCCTCTGCCCCCTTCGCATTCCTGTGCCTCTCTTCACATTTCTTTGCCAATCTTCTCATTCCCCTGCCACTTTTCACATTCCTCTGACCCTCTTCATATTCTTCTTCCCCTCTTCTCATTCTTCTGCTAGTTTTCACAATTTTCTGCCACCACAATCCTTTGCCCATCCTCATAATCCTCTTACCCTTTTCACAATCTTCTGCCCCTCTTCATTATCCTCTGCCCCTCTTCACACTCTGCACAATCCTCTGCCACATTTCACATTCCTTTGCCCATCTTAATCCTCTGTCACTCTTCAAATTCCTCTGCCCCTTTACATTATTCCATCTCTTCTCTCATTCCTCTGCCCCTCTTCTCATTCGTCTGCCCCTCTTCTCGTTCCTCTGCCTCTCTTCACAATCCTCTGCCCCCTTCACATTTCTTTGCCAATCTTCTCATTCCTCTGTCCCTCTTCTCATTCCTCTTCCCCTCTTCTTGTTCCTCTGCACTCTTCTTAGTTGTCTGCTCCTCTTCTTCTAACCCTCTTCTCATTCCCCTGCCCCTCTTCTCCTTCCTTTGCCACTCTTTTCAGTTGTCTGCTCCTCTTCTTGTTCCTCTGCCCCTCTTCTCATTCCTTTGCCACTCTTCTCATTCTTTTGCCTCTCTTTATGTTCCTCTGCCTCTCTTCATGTTCCTCTGCCTCTCTTCACAATCCTTTGTTCCTCCTCTCATTCCTCTGCCCCTCTTCACATTTCTCTGTGCCTCTTCTCATTTTTCTGTCTCTCTTCACAAGCCAGAACCCCTAGGGAAATGAAGCCAAGGGAAGAGCAGAGCCCCTCCCACTCCAAGCTTTCACTGGACAGTTGTGCCAGGGAGAGCCAAAGCACAGTTGTGCTTTAAGGTGTGAGATCACCAACAAGAACCAAGCCCAAAGGGGAGCCCTGACAAGGGGCTGTGCTCAGTGGTACAGAGAACAAGCATCTACTCCCAGGGCCACCCTGGGAGTCTAAAAAGCTTCCTCCCCCTGGATGCGTTCACAAGGGGCCACCTGCATGGAGCAGGAGCAGCCAGAATGGACCAGAGGAGCCCTGACAAGTGGTCCTGCT